AGAGAGGAGAGACGAGAGAGAAGAGAGGAGAGAGAGAGAGACGAGAGGAGAGAGAGGAGAGAGAGAGAGAAGAGAGAGAAGAGAGAAGAGGGAGAAGAGAGGAGAGAGAGAGGGAGAGAGAGAGAGAGAGTGAGAGAGAGAGAGAGAGAGGAGAGAGAGAGAGAGAGAGAGAGAGAGAGAGAGGAGAGAGAGAGAGAGAGAGAGAGAGAGAGAGAGAGAGAGAGAGAGAGAGAGAGAGAGAGGAGAGAGAGAGAGAGAGAGAGAGAGAGAGAGAGAGAGAGAGAGAGAGAGGAGAGAGAGAGAGAGAGAGAGAGAGAGAGAGAGAGAGAGAGAGAGAGTGAGAGAGAGAGAGTGAGAGAGAGAGAGAAGAGAGAGAGAGAGAGAGAGAGAGAGAGAGAGAGAGAGAGAGAGAGAGAGAGAGAGAGAGAGAGAGAGAGAGAGAGAGAGAGAGAGAGAGAGAGAGAGAGAGAGAGAGAGAGAGAGAGAGAGAGAGAGAGAGAGAAGAGAGACAGAGAGAGAGAGAGAGAGAGAGAGAGAGAGAGAGAGAGAGAGAGAGAGAGAGAGAGAGAGAGAGAGAGAGAGAGGAGAGAGAGAGAGAGAGAGAGAGAGAGAGAGAGAGAGAGAGAGAGAGAGAGAGAGAGAGAGAATACAGTATAACGGAAAACAGCATGCCATGGAAGGCATAAAGATGCAGATTGCGTTTGCATACTTGTGCATGTTGAAGTATGCAGTGTCGTTAAGAAGGTTTCCAAAGCGCTAGAAAGTCGGCGCAACAATGCCTGCCTCTGTCACGAACTTTGGGAGATGCCAATTGCTAACAATATATTACAATTTGTGTGAATGGCCTATCGAGTATTCTGATGAGATGTGACTGAGAACCTGACTGTCTCACCCAAAAGGTCCCATGAAACCCCATATGGCTGTCATAGTCTAACATTTGAATCGAATTAACGTTGATTTAATAAGCTACCGGTCACTGCCCTTTCATTGATTGCTAGAGTTTACGGCTCTCAGCTGGTTGATGTACGATGATACCCGGCGAATCGTGACTGCAGTGAAGATGGTTAACATTTCTGAGGAAGTTTATATTTGTTCATAAAAATGCTGCTCGTTTAAACAAATATATTATTCTTGTGTGCTTATCAATTGTCTGATGAGGATTTTTATAGCCTGCCGTAGTGTTCAATGCAAATTTGAGTAGTTTTTTCACCCATGAATTCAAAAGGTATGTATAAATATAATTAATATTACTATATAAACGTCTTTTAATATGAATGTAAGGACAACTTCTATAATCAATCGTTATGCATGCAATATTTTCAGCAATTGGACGAAAGCGAACGATAGTTGTTGCATCCCCTACGAGAGTCTAGTCTGTGACGTCAGAGTAAACAAGATGGTGGACACAAGAGCGTGCCAGAAACCTGTCTCCAGGGTTTGTCCTTTTTACCTCACTCTTTCGCTTTGATTGTCGCCCTGAGCTCAACACTTTGGTAGAACTAGAGTGGTAGAATGAAATCACAGCCAAAAACTCTCACTTAGACGCCGCCGTAGTTAGGTGCTTGACACTACACTTTGGTAGTCGAGACACGCCTCTACCGGAGTCCTCATCAGTGTTTTCCACATTTTTTACTCAGTGTCGCGGAATTAGATTATGTGTTACTTCTCTCAGTGTTTATCAAGTTTGTGTTTCAAGCATGAATTTATTTCTGTTCTGCGTGCTTCTGTGTCGTAAATCTCAGGAGACGAATATCACAATCGAACATTTCTTCACATAGGTATTTGCTGAAGAATTTTGATACAGTTTGAAGGAAATACGTTTAAATTGATTGATTGGTAGATTGATTGGCCTGCGAATCGATTGCTAGATGATTATATACATGTAAATGTATTGATTGGTGACTGATCAATAAATTGGTATAAAATAATTAGTTATTGGAGTATTATATATATAAAATAAAGATATTGTCAGTTAAGGCAATATTATTTTTATTTTCGTTTAAGGTAGTTATTGATGGAGAGTAAAGCTTAAGAGAAAGCTAAGAAAATGTAGGTTGAATTTCAGTGACTGAGATGCCTGTGACATAGTTTGAGGGAAACAAATCTGATTATTTAAATTTGATTGAATGTGAAATTCAAATTCAAACTGACATTTTGTGATTCTGGCAGGTTTACTTCATTAGAAGATGATTGGGGGCACTTACTTCATGAAGTATGCAATTAATCTTTTTATCCTATCCCATGGTTTGATTTGTTAAAAAAGAGTTTTTTTATTTTTTTGCACAAGCTAGAAGATGAATATTCCAAGTATATAAAAAACAAAACAAAACGGCAACCTGAGCAGTGGTATGCGTCCTGACTCTCAGTAGCCTGAGCTGTGCCTTGTATGACATGAGTTGAGTGCATCTCAGTTTATATTTTTAGATTACACTGAATCAAGAGAGGTTCTCCATTATTGATGATAAGATTTTGAATATTTATTAATGTAAACAACAGTTGC